ATCTAATCTAAAGAATATAATATAGACTTTATCTTCTTTTTTTCCGGTAATTATCTCCTCTCATTAAGCTCACTTGATCAAAATCAAGTCGCACAAAAACTCAGATGTACATCTTAGAATAGAAAGCAGTACAACCTTATAATTGTAAATTCAATCTGCCTATCACTCTACTGCGCATCAGAGCCTCTCGAAATCTCAAGTCCCCTTGCGCCAACAGCCATATTTCTTCCCACATCTGCAAAAAAACTACCTCCCAAAGTCTTGGCCTCTCCCCAAAAACGCGCTTACAACGCTCTTTCCATACCAAACTACATATCCAGTACCAAACCGCCCTCAACACAGGGCCATCCATACTATTTTTAGCAAGCAGACTCATTTCGTGCAACAGCTGCTCCCAACTAGAACCCCAACTGGACAGCAAAGTACCAAACACTGCATTCATCAGGTAACCGGTGTACTCACAACTACAGAATAAATGACAACGGCTCTCCTCTTCTACTTCACATAGCACACAAACTGCATCTCTAATCTTCCCCCACTGCTTTAGCTTATCCCGAGTCACAATACGATTTAGTATGATAAGCCACATTAAAACTCTATTGCGAGGTAATGTATACTTACCCCATATTACCTTCCACCAAGAGACAACCGGTCTATGCACTCTGATAGACTCCCAGACTTGCTGCACCGAGAATCTTTTCATCATCTTCCCCTCCCAGAATACCTCATTCTGCGCATTGGAGGTGATTCTGTACTGGTACCAACCTCGCAATTTCAATAGCTGTTTCCATAACCACGAACCAGACATAGTAGGTTGTAGCTCCCAAATAGATCGAGCTTTCAGCCTATACCTGCTCACCCATGCTACCCAAAAGCTCCCCCTCTGCATAAACAGTAAGCACAGGAGACGAGCAATACAAGCCACATTCCACGTTCGTAAATCCCTCAAACAAATACCCCCTTCTTTCTTAGGAGTAGCTAGAACATCCCATGCCACTTTTGCTTTGCCTGTTCCCTCTCCATGCCACAAAAAATCAGAGCAAATCTTCTGAATACTCTCAATAATAGATTTAGGCAGAATAAAAATGGTCATCCAATACTGACATAACGAGTAAAGCACAGAAGCAATCAACAGCAGTCTACCTGCATAAGACAGCTTGCTAGTCCTCCATGCTCGAACCCTGCTTGTCAGTCTATCCACCAGGACAGCACATTCCCTGCTTGTCAACTTCCCAGAAATCAGAGGCACCCCAAGATATCGGACAGGCAGTTTACCCTCTTTAAACCCAGTAATCATAATAGCATTCTCCTTATATTGTATTGCTTGACCCCCAAAGAAGACTTCACACTTCTGCGAATTACACTTCAGACCAGACATCCAATAAAACTCATCTAAAAGACTCTTGACCTTCATTAAAGCTCTCGCCAACCCCTTAGTAAAGATGAGAAGGTCATCTGCGAAACAGAGATGCGTTAACTTCAGCTCTTTACACTGAGGGTGGTAAGGTAAGCTACCCTCAAGTGCTGCATCATTTAACAGCCCTGTCAATGGCTCAAGAGCAATTGTGAACAAATAAGGGGAGATTGGATCCCCCTGCCTAACCCCTTTCTGAGCAGCAAAATGTACAAAGAGGGAACCAAACAAACTGACGCTGAAGAATGCAGTACCTAAGCAGGCCTTAATCCAACCAGTGAAAGTATCAGGAAAGTTCATTGCTTTCATAACCATAAACAAGTAGTTCCAATCCACAGAGTCAAAACGCTTTCTGTAAATCAATCTTTACTGCACTACGAGAAGCCAACTTCCTGTTTGGATAGTTCTGAACCATTTCTTGAGCCATCAGAATATTATCTATTATACTTCTCCCTCTTATAAAAGCGGACTGATTGAGGCTGTTAACACGAGGAAGTACTTGCTGAATCCTATTTGCCAAGACTTTCGAAACAATCTTATAGAAAATGTTAATACAGCAATAGGTCTGAAGGCAGTCATCCTATCTGCATTCAAAGTCTTAGGAGCTAGAGTAAGGGAGGCTGTATTCATACCTCGAGGAAGCTCATTTGTACAGAAAAATTCTCGAATCTCAGCTGTCACATCTGTGCCAATTATTTCCAAACTTTTCTGATAAAAACTAACATACCACCCATATGGACCAGAAGCTTTAGTAGGGTCCATGGAGAACAATGCAGCCCGAACTTCAGCCTCAGTCACCTGCTCGCTCAACAATCTCTGCTCTGTGCTTGACAGAGTCTTTGTCACATAACGTTTGATGGCAAGAAACTAAGGATTAATTTCCTTATTTGGAGCACCATAGAGCTTCTTGTAAAACCCTACTGCCTCTTCAGCAATCTGGTCTGGCTCAGTGATAACCTGACCTGACTCCAATACCAACTGTCTAATCTGCTTCCTTGCATTTCTTATCTTGACAGATTTATGAAAAAATGCAGAATTTGAGTCCCCCAAAGCTAAGCCCTGAATTCGCGATTTTTGATGATAGAAGCTCTCCTTAGCCTGCTGCAATTGGTGATACTGAGCTGTTGCTTGTTTTTCTGCTGCATAATTGTCCCTTGATGGACACTCAAGGGCCAATATTTGTTTGCTTCTCAACTCAAGCTCAACCGCTTTTACTCTGCCAGAGATATTCGAGAACTCATCCTTGTTTAATTTCTTCAGTTCTTGCTTCAATAGGATCATCTTCCTCCTGTACCTATGTAATGGGGAACCCCAACACTGAATACTCCAACAACTCTTTAAAACTTCCCAGTATGTAATCATGATCCAGCCACATGTTAAAGAATCTAAAAGGTTTAGGGAACGATTTCCTTATCACTTTCGGATTCATCAGTATTCCACAATGATCAGAGAAGAGAGGCGCTAAAAACTCCAATGTGGAATCCGACAACTTATCCAACCAATCTTCATTAACCAAAAATCTATCTAACTTTCTAGCAATCGGGTTACCTTGCTGCTGATTGGACCAAGTGAAAAAATGCCTTGAAGCTTGATGATCCACAAGATCCATCTCCTCAACCCAATCTCGAAAAGCCAGCATACTGCTCGTAATGGATATCTCATTCGATGCTTCCATAGGGTTCAGAACAACATTAAAATCCCCTCCAATAGCCCATGCAAATCCTGTCACCCTCCATCTACATAATTCTCTATATGTATTAAGCCTTTCTCCCTCATCATTGGAAGCATAAACTACTGTTAAGAAAAACTGCTCTGTATTAGTAATCGAAACCAAAGCATGAATAAAAATGCACTTCTAGCAAGCACTCTCAACTTCACCCCTGTCTTCCACGCCAGCCAAATTCTACCCAACTTATTGTAAGCATAATTGTCTGCAAACTGAAAATCCACAAATTCTCTTGTATCTGCTGTGCTTTACTCTCCTGGACTCTAGTCTCAAGAATCGCCAAGACTACTACTTCTAATCTTCGCACACACTCCATCACAGAGTTGTGCTTCGAGGGGCGATTAAACCCCCTCGCATTCCATATGAGAAGAGTCATTTCAGTAAAGGAGGTACCAGGGGTACCCCTTTCTGACTCCTTAATCCCTCTCGACTTGGCTTAGCAGGCGGTTTCTGCAACTCAATCCCTTTTGCACAAATTGCTGCAAACGAATTGGACAAACGGATAGGAGAGACAATTTCCTTACCCTTCTGCTTACCTCCATTCACCACCATATTGAATTCCTCATTAGAAGGCAAAGCACTAGGGGTGACTGGAGGCGTATCCTGCTGCACAACCTCATCCTGCGATACCTCAATCACTTTTTTCACCGTAGCAGCACTGGTAGGACTCGGTTGAACCTCTAATTCTGCAGTCACCTGACTCAACTCAGAAGCCTCAGTCAGACAAACTGTATTATTATGCTTCTTCCTCCATACCTTCCTTGTCTCACCTTGCGGGGCAGCACAGTTATGCCCAAATACACAACAAGTACTGCACACAACGGGAACATGACAATACTCCACACTAATGAACATTTCCTTCATAGAATCCGGAGTAATACTAATCTTCGATGGCCATGTCGTCTTCGCACTCATCTCAATACAGATCTTTGCTGCCCCAACTTTGTGTCCAAATCGCGTAGGTTGATCCATACAGAGGGGCTTACCAAGCACACTAGCCACGCGACCCAATCCCTCTTTTGACGAAAGCTCCCCAGGTAATCCAGACAGCTTCACCCAAATTGGCACCGCCTTATTATCCACCTCCAGCGCCTGAATTCCTGGCACCCACTTCCTTACACACAACAGATTATCCTTATAGTGCCAGGGACTTCCCTCAAAAACCCATCGACAGACCTTCGCAGATGGGAACTGTAATAGAACTAAACGATCCTCGAACCATGATACCCTAATTTCCCCCGCCTTCCCCCACAACCAATTTGCCCAAAAATGAATTGTTGCCAGAGACAGAGGAGATCGAAGGAATTGGCTTACCAAACAGTTGTCGAATCGTTTAGCCCCTTCCTCCATGACGGATTTAGGGATTCTGAGCGATCCATCTACGATTTTCGGTTCAAAATACTGCAACTGACCTTACTTTTCAGATCTATGGTCAAAGGAGGGAGTCTATCAGCAGAGCTTCGATAATCAGGTTCTTGCCTTTCGTTTTGACTCAGCATTTTATCTCCCTCTCCCTACCACCAAGACCGGAGTTTCACTCATGTTAGCGAAATCAGATTTCTTAATTAAACTAGATGAGGAAAGATAAGTTTTTAGGTAAAATTATAAGTTTTCAGGAAAGATAAGTTTTATTAATTTTACTTTGCTACACATAAAAGTGCCAACAACTGGTGCTTTATTACACAAACAGTTTGCGAAACTAGCGCACACCGACTACACTTCAATTTATTCCAACAAATGAAGGAAAATAGCATGATACCACAAAGAAAACACCCTTATTCATAATAGCTGAAAAATGAAAACGCATGCAGCAGCTACATAAAACGACTCCATCAACCTACCGATCATGACGATCAGTCCTTAATTGACGGCGCCGCAAATCCTCCTGATCTGGCCAGCAGATCCCGTAAGCGGCTGAATCTCACCCATCTTCACCATCGCCGCCGCGAAATCGTCCCTAAACCTCCCAGCCAACTTGCCGTACTCCCTCACAATCCCGTCCGTGACACCGCCGCCACTATACAACACCTGGTCGCTCGCCAGCAGTCCTCTCCTCCGCATCAGATCCCTAAAGTAGTTGTTATCAAAATGATCCGGCGTCACGGGGTCAAACGGCGCCGTCACGTTGTCCCCTCCCACTAACGGACACCTCCGCCTCAGAACACCAGCGTACGCACCGTCAATATTAGCGCCGTCACTATAGATCCTGTCGCGAAAGGACGAACACTGCGCGTCGCCTAAAGTGTGGGCCCCACTGAGAGCGACCATCTCCCTGACGTTCAGCCCTTTCCCCTTGAAGCGCTTGATCAGAGTCTCCACGTCGTCGTTGTGGGACGGGAGGTCCGTCACCGCCACGTCAGGGTACGCCGACGTGGAGTCCCTCCTCCCGAGCTTCACGTTCCATGTGGGCCCGCCCACGTAGGCGGAGGCGTCACGTGCTGCCACGGCGACTATGTCCGCGCATGAAACGACGCCGGGGCAGATTTTTTCGACTCGGGCCTTGGCGGCGTCGATGGCTTCGAAGCCCGTGATGGACATGTTGTTCCCGCCCGCGGTTTTCTCAGTGCGGATGGTTGGGGTTTGGTCGAGGAGGATGGAGGCGTCGCAGCCGTGGACGAAGCAGTCGTGGAAGTGGAGCCTGATGAGCCCCGCGGCCATCCTTGTGTCGACGGCGAGGGAAGATCGTATGGAGGTTCGAATGGTGTTGAGGGCGTTGGGGCAGGTTTTGGCGTAGAGGTTGAGGGAGAGCTGAGCTTCGGTTTGGGTTATTGTTGCCACAGTGTTGATTAGGATGAAGAGTAAGGCGAGGAGGAAAGGTGATGAGGGTTTTGATGGTATCGTTGCCATGGCGAAAGAGAGAGCTTTAGAGAGAGTTGAGGGATATTGACGGGGAGGATGAGTTGGATGGGGAGGCGTGTGCCGGTTTATATAGCTCCACACGCCCGTGTGAAATCTAAAGCAGAAGTCTGACTTGATTACGCGTAAACATTGTACCTAATCGCTATATAATAATGGAGAAATTTTACAATGCTATATAGTATTGGTGCTATAGGGTTTTGTCTTTATGGTACAACTTAAAATTGTACATTTACGTTATGGTACAACTTTAGATTGTACCTATACTTTTTGTACTAATTCTTTTATGGTACAACTTAAACATGTACATTTATGTGATGGTACAACTTCAAGTTGTAAAGTTGTACCATAACATAATGATACAAATTGCTTTATGGTACAACCTAAACTTATACATTTAATGTTATGGTACAACTTTAAGTTGTACAATAAAGCACCAATACTATATAGCATAGTAGAAGTGCTCATAATAATGTGCCATTTCACTTATGGCATTAACTACACCTCCAATACCATTTCTTACTTACTATTAAGTTCATATAGTGGTTCGGTTTGGTTAAGGTTAATGGTTTTCGGTTGGCCAAAAACCGTTCAGGCCTTTAATAGTTCGACTTGGTTTCAAGAAAAGCGAATGAGTTTTGGTTCTTTTTTTCTCTTTCTCTTATTTTTTGTAACGATTTTAACTATCGATTTCACGGTTTATGTCAGAACCAGTTGATCCCAATAACTTGAGTTGGTGAGAGAGATTCAATTATTGATCTGATATCATTACTAATTAACACCCTATCCCCCAATAAGGGCCAACTTATAAGGGCGAAGTTCGCTCCGATTAGAATACTATGTGCTTAGCACCTCGATCATCGAAGGGTATGATATCATTTCAAAAACTAGTTGGTTCCAATAACTCATATTTTTTTAGAGAATTTCAATTATTAATCTTATATAAGTTGCTAACAATTTAACCAATGTTTGTGAAATCGTACTGGCGGTTCAACTGTAAAAATTACCCTACCAGTAGCGATTTTTAGCAGTATGAAACGATTGAGCGACAATTTTCATACAAAATACCCTACCACTAGTTTTTCCTATACAATTTCCGGTAGGGTTTGACAATCCTTGATTTAAACCAAAACCAAAACAGTTAAGCAAGGTGAGTTGTTGGAACCGAAAAACCGAATCAGTCAAGTTTCCTATCGGTTTGATTTTGGTTTTAACCGAAAACCGGAACCAAACTGCCACCCGTACTTACTTTACGTAGTCTTGTTTCCCATGTACTTTCCTAAGTACTTATTGTGTCTGTGGTATTCAACTGAAATAGATTGGCCCTGCAAGTGGGGAAGGTTTCCTGTGTGCCAAAGGTTCTATCTGTGTGCGGTGCTCCTGGATCCTAAACATACTGCTAAATCAGTCATTATAAAAAACTTAAACCAGCAAACAAACTTATCATGGTACTAATATAGCATGCGAACAAAAGATCAAAGAGTTACCTGAATGCATTTGGCTACGTGATTACGCGGGGTTTTCTGGTCAGGGTGTATCTCTCTTTTAAGCTTTGGTACAATTTTTTTTTGGTTACGTACTGTGACACTTTATGCAAATTACACATCAACAAAATAAGGAATAAATCTATAGTTTGTAAGTAACAAATTAATATTAACTGAGGAATTAATAAGGAAGAGACCATAGTTTCTTTTCTTGTGTGTGTAAAGTGTGAACAAAGAAGAGTTTGAGTTGAGAGAATGATCGGTTAATTAGGGTTTGAGGATTGGGCTGGGGCCGGGTGGGGTGGGATCGGAATGAGAATGGGGCTTGGGTGGGCTAGGGGATGGGCTGGGCTATATTTTTGTTATCCGGTTTCCTCCGATTTTAATCGGATCAAGTCGGATCATATTTTTGTGAGTACACTATAAACACAAATTGGATCAGGTTGACGGGAATTTGGTTTCCGATTACAATCGAAACGGTTTAAGTTGGCCAACATTTTTGTTTGCCAAAATATAGTGACCGAATTCCCAATCCTAATCTCAATCATCCATATTTGATTTTGTAGTATTACAAAATAGGAAGGTTTTTGTTTATAGGGTTAGTATATTTGTATGGCCTGAACTTTGACCAAAATAAACATTCTGGCCAATCATTTGGATCTATAACATCCTGGCACAAACTATACATCAAAATAACTAAATTGGCCAAACCCGTCATTTGACCGTTAACATGGACGGTCAACGCGCCATGTCACTGCATAATCAGCAAATAAACAATTAAAATATTTACAATTTCCACATATCCCCTAATTTTAAAATATTATAAGTTAAATTAAAAAAATGAAATTAACAACAATAAAAACATTACAATAACACCCCCCAAAAGTTCCACCTCGTCATCATCAACGTCCATCGACCGCCATCGTCATCGTCTGTTCCTTGTTCCTCTCCATCGTTGAATATTGCGAGCTTGAGGGCTGCGCCACCCTCCCTGACCGCTAGAGAAATTGCAGCAGCGCCCAGGTGCAATGGAGCTTCCTCTCATTTCGGCAGACTGTCAAGATCGGAGATCCAGATCTGAAGCTGACACGAAGAAGGCCGACAGAAGGAGACCTGCTTCGCTGGATTTGCAAAATGTCGTCCCCGCTTCCTCGTCGTGGTTTGCTGCCGCTGTGAAAAGACCTCGCTCTCGTCGTTGCGCAAGTCTGGGTCATAGATAGGAGACACGGATTAGGGATAAGAGATCTCTCCCCACCTCCGTCATTGACCACTATAGTGGATTGGGGATAGGAGACGTGGATTGGGGAAAGGAGACCTCTCCCCGCCTCCGCCATCGACCACTGGATCGGATTGGGAAGAGAACGAGCTCCATTCCAGAATCGGAAGGAAGGAGATTTTATTGGAGGGTCAGCAAGGAGCTGACAGAAGAAGGACAGCAGCCACTACAGTTCTGCACTGCAATCCTGATCAGGCAAGGATTCAGTCTCAACACCAGAACGAAGGACTAAAATGGAGAAGAATGGAAGTTTGGAACTGACATCGAACTTTCATATGCGCTGCCGTTTTGTTCTTTATTCTTTGAGATTGTTTAGTGCAGTCTGTTGGTTAATAACGAATCCAAACCTGGCACGTGTTAAGCTTTGGTTAATGGATTTCATATGACCGTTAATACTGTGTATTAGCCGTTGTGCACCAATATAAAATAGAAAACCCTAAAGAGAGGACTGCAGTTTTTTCTGCTGCTCCTCCACCCAAATCTCAGATCTTCTTCCGCTTCTCTTATGGTATCAGAGCACGGCGCCATTCAGGCAGCCTGATCCAGGTTGGAGCAGCAGCTTTAGGTCACAATGAGTGGGAATGAAGAACAACCCAGTACTGGGTCAGCAGCACATTCAACTTCAAGTGCAGCAGCCACAGATTCCACACAAGTTGTTCAACCCTCTCCAGATTTCCAGTTCGGTAACCCCTTTTATCAAAACCCTAATGAGAATCTTTCTCAATCCATCGTGTCTGAAGTTCTAGATGGTAGTAATTACCAAATGTGGGCTAGATCTGTTCGGATTGCTCTCAAAACCAAGTATAAGCTTGGGTTCATAGATGGTTCTGTTCAAATCCCTGATCCTAGGACAGATCCTAATGGTTATAGAGCATGGGATGCTTGCAATACTGTTGTTCTTTGCTGGATTATTAATTCTCTGCATAAGGACATTAAGCGAAGTGTCCAGAGTCATGAAGTTGCACAGAATCTGTGGGAAGAATTGAAAGACAGGTTTGGTCAAGCTAATGCTGTGAAATTGACCAATCTGGAAGATGATATTCATGCTTGTAAGCAGGGAAACATGACCATAACCCAGTATTATACACTGATGAAAGGGTTATGGGAGGAATACTCGAAGTTCAATCCAATAGTACCTTGTACTTGTGCTCCAGGACAGGTTCTCCCATGTCCAGCTGTTGAAGCCTTTAAGGCAAAACAAGAAACAGATTACCTTGTGAGATTTGTGAGAGGAGTCAGTCCTGCATATGATGTTGTGAAGACTCAGCTTCTCATGATGAAGCCTCTTCCAACTGTTGTGGCAGCATATGGGGACCTTCTCCAGCATGAGCAGAAACTGAAGTCTGATAAAGGAAGGAACACACAGTCAGTGGCACTTGCATCTTATGGGAGACAAGGAAATCAAGGGAATGAGAATGCTACTGCAAGGCAGTCAGCAAAACAAGGAAGTGTGGAAGGAAGTGAAACAGGACTGTTCTGCAGATATTGTAAGAAAACAAATCACAATATAGCAGACTGCTGGAAGTTGAAGAGGAAGAACAAGGAACAAGGTGCTGGATCACACTTTGCTGGGGCAGTGAATGAATCTGAGGATGGTGTGCTTGAAACTCAATCAAGCAGTGGAAGTGGAAGTGTTAACTCTGGAGGAAGTGGCAACAACTCAGCCAACATTGTGAACCTTCAGTTGACTGGTGATGAAATGAATCGACTCAGACTCTTGCTTCAAGGAGTGACTACCAGTCCTTCACCCTCTCCATCACCACCACACTCACCAAACATTCGTCATGCAGCCTTTTCAGCAGCACAGCAGATGCCACATTTTCCAAATTCAGCTGGTAAATATGTTCTAACCTCATATGTTCATTGTTATTCGGCCTCACTTGTTCCAACATGGATTTTAGACACTGGTGCCTCAGACCATATCATTTGCTCTAAGAATTTCTTTACCACATATAAACCAATACAGGGAGTGTCAGTTTTCTTACCAAATAGTACCAAAGTCTCAGTTACACACATTGGATCAGTTAGGTTGCCATCAGGAATCCTGTTGAACAATGTTTTGTTAATTCCCAGTTTTACTTTCAATCTTGTGTCAGTTAGTAGATTGACACATGATTTACCAATTTCCCTCACCTTTCAATCTGACTCTTGTGTTGTCCAGGACCTAGTAACCAACAGGATGATTGGCTTGGCAAAGCAAAGTAGGGGTCTATACCATCTAATGTCCAGTTCAGAAAGTGAAATCACACCTTCAGTAGCTTCAGTCTACAATTTCCAACCTCAGAAGATTAACCTTTGGCACTGGCGTTTAGGGCATCCTAATTCCAAGAAGATACAATTATTAAAGCTTTGTAATCCCATAGTTAGACATGAGACAGTGAAACATTGTGATGTTTGTCATTTTTCTAAACACAAGAGATTGCCTTTTACTTTGAGTCAACATAGAGCAAATGATGTCTTTGATTTGATCCATGTTGACATATGGGGGCCTTTGGCAGTTGAATCATATGATGGTTTTTCTTATTTTCTCACTGTGGTTGATGATCATTCTCGTGCTGTGTGGACTATTCTTATGAAACACAAATCAGAAACCAGGTCTTTTCTGCAGAATTTCTGTGTCATGGTGAAGAATCAGTTTTCTAAATCTGTAAAAACCATCAGAAGTGATCAAGGTAGGGAGTTTCATATGACTGAATTCTATGAAGAACAAGGAATAGAGCACCAAATGTCCTGTGTAGCCACCCCAGAACAGAATGGGAGAGTTGAAAGGAAACATCAGCATATATTGAATGTAGCAAGAGCTTTAAGGTTTCAATCTGGTATCCCTTTACAGTTTTGGAGTGATTGCATACTTCATGCAGTGCATCTGATTAATAGGTTGCCTACCCCTATCCTTGATAACAAAAGCCCTTTTGAATTACTATACAAACAACCTCCTTCTCTTGATCACTTGAGGGTTTTTGGTTGCTTAACCTATGCTTCTACCTTGAGCAGTGGTATAACTAAGTTTCAGCCCAGGGCAAGACAATGTCTGTTTCTGGGATATCCTTTTGGCATCAAAGGGTATAAACTCTTTGATCTGACTTCCCATGAAGTGTTTATGTCCAGGGATGTGACATTTTATGAAGATATTTTCCCTTTTTATGGGCTGGTTGATGATTCAGATGACACACCAGTCTTCCCTGACTTGCCTACAGTCACCTTTCCTGATGTCCAGGCTCATGGGGGCCAACCTACTTCATCTGTTCCACCTGCCCCTATTCCATCAACCTCAGTTGATGGATTTTCTTCTCCACAGACCTCATTAGGCACTGAGTTCAGTCCTCAATCTTCATCTCATCACACACCAGTAGAGATTGTGAGGAATGCTGATGGAATTGTTGTTAATCAGAGAAAGTACTGCACTGAATTGCTTGGGGACACTGGTTATGAGGATGCAAAGGAGACATTGACTCCTATTGATATGAAGGTGAGGCTGAGCTCAAGAGAGGGGACTCCTATTGATGATCCAAGGAGCTATAAGAGACTGATTGGAAGGTTACATTACTTAACCATAACTAGACCAGACATATGTTACACAGTGCAGCAGCTAAGTCAATTTCAGCGTAATCCTCTTGATACACATATGCAAGCAGCACAAAGGGTTTTAAGATACCTGAAGAAATCTCCAGGGCAAGGGATCCTGTTCAGCAGCAACACAGACTTCACCATCACTGGTTACAGTGATTCAGACTGGGCAGCATGCCCAGATACCAGGAGATCAATAACAGGTTTTTGCACTTACTTTGGAAATTCATTACTTACCTGGAAGAGCAAGAAGCAGACCACTGTGTCAAGGTCTTCTTCTGAAGCCGAATATAGAGCTTTGGCTCATTTGGTCTGTGAAATTCAATGGTTGAAGGGACTGTTATCAGAGTTGGCAGTTCAAGTGAAAACTCCTATTACTGTCTACTGTGACAACAGGTCAGCAATTCATATTGCTGAAAACCCTGTTTTTCATGAGAGAACAAAACATATCGAGATAGATATGCATGTTACTAGAGAGAGGGTTAAGACTGGCATGATTAGGCTGTGTCATTTGCACACTTCAGATCAACTTGCTGACATTTTTACTAAGGGAGTCAGCAAGTACAGGCTGCTGGAGTTGCTTGGCAAGATGGGAGTTATTGATGTTTACTCGCCATCTTGTGGGGGCCTATTGGAGGGTCAGCAAGGAGCTGACAGAAGAAGGACAGCAGCCACTACAGTTCTGCACTGCAATCCTGATCAGGCAAGGATTCAGTCTCAACACCAGAACGAAGGACTAAAATGGAGAAGAATGGAAGTTTGGAACTGACATCGAACTTTCATATGCGTTGCCGTTTTGTTCTTTATTCTTTGAGATTGTTTAGTGCAGTCTGTTGGTTAATAACGAATCCAAACCTGGCACGTGTTAAGCTTTGGTTAATGGATTTCGTATGACCGTTAATACTGTGTATTAGCCGTTGTGCACCAATATAAAATAGAAAACCCTAAAGAGAGGACTGCAGTTTTTTCTGCTGCTCCTCCACCCAAATCTCAGATCTTCTTCCGCTTCTCTTAGATTTGGCAGGGGAGGCTTCTTTTTTCTTCTTCTTTTCTTCAGCAGCAGCTGCAATGGCAGAGATTTGAGTCTTCTGCAGCCTCTCGGATAAGTTGATTTGGGGTGTTGAGCGATTCTTCTTCCAAGCAGTAGAAGTTTTTAGCGATTCTTGATCTCACTCCCCGCTGGGTTTAATTTGGGACCGTGGTTACCAAAGGATTATGTGAAGAAACAGCAGAGGAAAGGGGAGATGTCGGCGCGCCACGTTGTCGGAAGCCATCCAGCCGGTGAATGCGCAGGGGAAAGGATCCGTAGGGAGTTTGTGTTGCTTTTCTGAATTTTTAATTATTTTTCTATTTTATTTTTAACTTAATTGTAAATTTGTAATAATAAAAATTTGAAAATTATGTGGCTTTTCTGAATTTTTTTAAAGTTTTTTATGTTGATAGGGCAGTGACGTGGCGCTTTGACCGTTAGTCAACGCATTTGACCGTCCAAGTTAATGGTCAAACGGCGAGTTTGGCCAATTTAGTTAATTTGATGTATAGTTTTTGGTCAGGATGTTATAGATCGAATGATTGGCCAGAATGTTTATGCTGGTCAAAGTTTAGGCCTTACAAATATATTAATCCTTTGTTTATAATCATCTCATATATATTTCCTCTGCTAAAATGAGCATAATCACGTTTCCAATATCTCCTGCTTTGTTATGAATAATCAATACAGGTTCAATAAGAAAATTGAAAGTTGAAAAGATCAATGTTGTAACGTTTTAGGCGAATCTGACATCGACAAAGCACGTGAGAGATTAATAATTCATAAGTAAGAAATCGACTCTATCTGACAAGACGCGTTTTGAAATAAAATTAAGGAGTTTTCTTAAGAACTTCAAAGTTAAACGTGTTCACTCTGAAGTACTACAATAATTGTTTTTTTTAATCTGATGAAAGGAAAGTCACCCACGTATGCACCCCAAGGAAAAAATTCGAGATGCTACAAATATGGTGTAAAAAATCGATTTTTTTTCTTCTCTTTCATTTGTGGTATCTTCCTCCCCTTCCCTCCGTTCACAACAAACATTTTCCGATTCCTTCCTCCCTCCCATCTCCGTCGTATCTGCTCCTACAACCCCTCAACGCCAAAAAAATGCCACCATCAAAAATTTCACTTCTCCCCCCCTCTCTCCATTCCATTTTCTCCCTCCTCGCATATCAGCCCTTCCCCGCCATGAAACCCTACCTCCATCTTCTCCAAAAGATCTAGATAACGCGCCAAATCTCCTTTGCCGCGCCCCCGCCACCACTACCTCCACCACCTCAATCATTAACAAACAGAGAGGGCGTGAAGGTGGCGATTCAAAAGATCCATATTAATGGCAATGGTAACCGTACGATGACCGTATGATCAATGGCAACGGTTACCGTACGATTACTGGTCTTGCTGACCTTGATGAGTACTGTGGCAATGAAGCCATCGGAAGCACAACTGTCCCCAAACTTCTACGCCAATTCCTGCCCCAACGCCCTCTCCACAATACGAACCTCCATCGGGACGGCCCTCGCCAAGGATCCGACCTTGGCGGCCGCTCTGATCCGGCTCGAATTCCACGACTGCTTCGTGCACGGCTGCGACGCTTCCATCCTGCTCGAACAATCCCCGACCACCAACACCACCACCGAGAAAACGGTCCCGCCAAACGTATCCACACGAGGCTACGAGGCCGTCGACGCGGCCAAAGCCGCGGTGGAAGCGGTCTGCCCAGGAGTGGTCTCCTGCGCCGACGTCCTGGCCGTCGCCGCAAGAGACGCTTCCGCCTACACGGGAGGTCCCTCCTGGGACGTGAAGCTCGGCAGGAGAGATTCCACCTCGGCGTATCCCGACGAGGTGCTGACGAATCTCCCCTACTTTAAAGATGATCTCCAGACCCTGATCGATCTGTTCGGGCGGAAAGGGCTCGGCCCAAGAGACATGGTTGCCCTCTCTGGGGCCCATACATTGGGCCAGGCCCAGTGCTTCACCTTCCGCGACCGGATCCATGGCGGCAATGTCACGGACATCGACGACGGATTCGCTAGCGATCTCAGGCGCCAGTGCCCGACTGTGGGCGGGGATTCGACGCTGGCTGCAATGGATCTGACTCCCGACAAATTTGACAACAACTACTTTAGGAATATTGTGCAGAAGAAGGGGCTCCTGAAAACCGACCAGGTCCTTTTCAGCGGTGGCCTTACTGATAGCATAGTGGTTGAGTATAGTAGGATTCCTGCCAACTTCAATGTCGATTTCGCGGCCGCCATGATCAAGATGGGAGATCTTCAGCCTCTCACTGGTTCTGCGGGACAGATTAGAAGGACTTGCGGCGCCGTCAACAATTGATCAGAAAATTAGTTAATTTTTTATTTCTTCTTTGATTTAATATATTTTGTTGTTATTGAATGTAGTGTAACTTCTTTTCTTTGGTAATAGGATAGGAGTAATCTCACGATAATAAAAAAAAAAGTATGAGCTAGCTGTAAATAGCAATTATTATCTCATGTGTAAAAATGAATTAATTTTGTAATGTATCAATTTTATTCATCTCTAAAATTTATAGTCTTTTTCGAGGACCTCCGATTAATTTAAAATGATCTTTGAAACGTGGTTGGCTAAATTTGGACTTCTAGATGCTTGCAAATCACAGTTACATACAAGATGTTAATTGAATGGATTACAAAGCCATATTGAGAATAATACAAAAATCAGTACATATTGTTTGGAAGAGAAAGACAAATTAAATGGGTATCGCATAAAATAGAATTGACAATCAGCTAAAAAGTTTGTCCTCATTTCCAGCTCTATTTGGTAAGTTTCACATGTTAGTAAAGGTGGTCTTCAGTGTAACTTTGTTTACCAACTCCGAATTTAAATGAATAAGATAGTGAATTATAAGAGATTAATGATGATCAAGCGGAGAAGATGAGATCGATAGCGTATTAGATCATGTCAAGTGGTAAAAATTGGTTGTCTGGAAACTTTCTTTCTATCTCTTTTCCTTAGTTCTATTTTGGTTTCCTTGGCTCTAGATCGACTCCTGATCAAATGAAGAAGATTCAAAAATTCTAAGCCATACACCGTAAAAATAAAAATGGTTTAGACTGATCGGTTAGATTATCAGCACTCCTTGGTTTACATGCTATTATAATTGAGTTTACGATCATACTAGCTAATTGGAACTTATCTTCTTGCGAGAAGAAGAATTGTTAGAACTACTAGATCTATTATGAAATATATTTTTAATTTATAAATCACACTTATTAAAACTATATAAAAAAATTCTTCTTAGTGAGAACCATACTCTTAACTTAGTACTTTAAACAAAAGTTTTATATTTTCCCCTAAATCAATAATCTCAACAAATCGGTGGAGGATAGAGTTAAAAATAGTATACATCAACTTTCACACAATATTCATAAGAAAAAATAAAAACATATTTTTGCTCTTTCTCTCCGTGGCAAAATATAATATTCCCTTTCTTGTCATGCAAACTAATCACCAATCAGTACTATAGATCATACACTACATAGAGCATGGGAAAATAAATTAAAAACAAAATAGAATGGAAGAAGCAACTAAATTTCAAGAAAACTCATCAATTACTCTCCGATCTTAACAAAATCGATCTACTAATCAATTAAACGAAACAAATTAATGTACCCAACTAATTAATTAGCCTTACTGCAAGTCCTCCTAATCTGACCGTCCGATCCAGTCATCACCTCAATACTCCCCATCTTCACCATCGCCGCCGCGAACTCATTTTTAAACTTCCCCTCATCCTTACTGTACTCATCCACAACCCCATCCGTCTCACCGCCGCTAAACAGCACCTGATCCGTCACCAAAAGCCCCTTCCTAATCATCAGCGCCTTGAAATAATTATTATCAAACGACGTCGGCGTCACCGGATCCAGCGGCTGCACCAGCCGGTCCCCGCCGCTGGCGGGACACATCCGACGCTTCTTCCTCGCAAAATCCGGGTCGATCACGTCCTTCACAACAGTCACGTTTCCGTACACCCTGTCCCGGAAAGCGAGGCACTGCGCGGTCCCCAGCGTGTGGGCCCCGGACAGCGCCACCATCTCCCGCGAATTCAGCCCCTTTTTGCGGAACAGTGCGATCAGCGTGTTGAGGTCGTCCTTGGGAGTCGGGATGTCGGACGCCGCGAGGGAAGCAAACGCGGCGTCGGAGTCCCGCCTCCCGAGCTCCACGTCCCAGGAGGGGCCCTCCACGGAGGCGGAGGCGTCACGCGCCGCGACGGCGATGATGTCGGCGCAGGAGACGACGCCCGGGCAGATCCGCTCCAACGTGGACTTCGCGTCCTCGATGACGCGGAACGTCTTGGTGAAGCGGCGGTTGGGGACGGCGCCCTTTTCGGAGACCGTGGTGGTGGTGTTGTCGAGGAGGACCGAAGCGTCGCAGCCGCGGACGAAACAGTCGTGGAACTGGAGGCGGATTAAGGAGGCTGCCATTCTCCTGTCTTTGGTGACGGCGCCGCGGACGACGGCGCGGACGGCGGTGAGGGCGCGGGGGCAGGTTTGGGCGTAGAAGTCGGTGGAGAGACAGAAAGCAGCCGGCGGTGTGGTTAGTAATAGCATGAATGTTGTGAGGAGTAATGCGGCTACTGCTTTCGGCATTGTGGATGACATTTTACGTAGTTAGGCTGGTTATTGTGCTAAACTCGGCTGTTGATTTGTTGGATTGATTAGTGACAGTATGAGACTAATTTATAGAACGTTAAGTTGGAAGGAAGGTGACAGAGGATGGGATTTGTAAGACTAGTGTCGGGTTTATTAATTAAAACACTATTCTTAATGGATGGAGGTTGCGTGACAAACTTGAGACTATGGGTTCTCTTTTTTCTTTCTTTTCCATTGCTATGTGGTGGATCGACGTCAGATGCGATTGGGAGTTTAGGCGGCGAGATAAATATTTACTAATTCCCCCTATTATGGAAATAGAATAGCAATTTGTTTGTTTAGGCACTAAACAAAATTATTAAAATTATGAAGACGACAACAGGGAGGATATTATTTGAGGTCATGGTTGTTAAACTGCTTTCCGGCCAGCGAAGAGGAGATGATGGGGATGGTTATTGATGCATTCCGCACCCTCTTCACGGATCAATCCAACTTGGTGAATTTCCTCATTTCGGCCTTCCCTAGCCTGGACAACTTGGCGAGGCTCGACGCAGAGATAGAAGGCTGTGAATGTTGATCGTTACGTAACAATAATCAAGAGGAAGAGTATCGATCGGGACGAGACGAGATTTACGTGGTTTTCTTGCTCGATCGTAATCGAACAAGACTAGTCCACGGGAGGGTTGTGTTCTTCTTATTTCACCGTACTCAACATAGCACATTAGGTTACATATATATACACTCGGCTATCTCCTAATTAACCCTAGCCGAGACACTATCGTTAATGGGCCGAGCCTTATAATTACAAGACCATAAACCGAGATGCATAATACTCAACACCCTCCCCCAAATTGATGAAGGGTTCTCATCGTCAATTTTCCAGCCAAGAAGGAATGTCGAGTGACAATGAAGGCCTTGGTAAAGAGGTTTGCGAGCTGATCTTCAGAATTGATGTAGTAGATGCGAACAGTACCATCACCAACGAGATCACGAATATAGTGAACATGTACCTCAATGTGCTTCGTGCGATCGTGGAAAACCGTATTGGTAGCAATGCGTATGGCACTCGTATTGTCAACATAAAGCTCCATAGGAGTGACACATGTGACACCCAAATCCCCTAGTAAACGACACAACCACTCAAGTCCGGAGGTGACATCAGACATAGCTCGGTACTCTGCTTCAGTGGACAAGCACCCGGTCTTGTTTCTTGCCCCTCCAAAATATGACAGAAGAACCCAGCCTGATACACCAGGCAGTCGTCGATCGGCGGGTGTCAACACAACCTGCATAATCAGAATCGGAAAAGGCCTGCAGCACAAGTGATCCATCAGAGGGGGGGAGGACAAACCGACATCACGGGTCCCTTGCAAGTATCGGAGAATCCTATGAACTGCTGGCAGGTGATCAGTACGAGGAGAAGACATTAACTGACTTACGATCTGCACTGCATATGCTATATAAGGGCGAGTAGAGTTCAGGTAGATGAGACTGCCCACTATGCTGCAATGTTGCTTCCCACCGTCTGGTAACAGGTCACTTGAGTCCCTCCCCAGCTTCAAGTTGAGTTCAATAGGAGTAGCCACAGGAATACTGTCACTATGTCGGGTGGCATCCAAGAGATCATCAATGTATTTCCGTTGGTTAAGAAGAATACCAAAACGAGAGCGAGACACCTCAAGCCCCAGATAGTAAGAGAGAGAACCAAGTTCCTTGAGGTTGAAAGACTTATGAAGACCCTGTGTGAGTTCGACAATGCCCTCGGAATCATCGCCAGAAACGATCATATCATCCACGTATAACAACAAGACCACCAGACCCCGAGCAGTGCGACGAGTGAAGAGAGAATGATCATTCGCACTTTAAACGAATCCAAACCCTAGAATCGTAGACTGAAACTTATCAAACCAGGCCCGAGGAGCCTGTTTAAGACCATATAGAGAGTGGTGGAGCAGGCAGACAGAGTCCGGTGGACCAACAGTATAGCCCGCGGTCGTTCCATGTAGACTGTTTCTTTAAGCTCCCCATGGAGGAAAGCGTTCTTGACATCAAGCTGATAGAGAGGTCATCCTATAAGTGAGGCAACAGCGAGAAGAGACCTAACTGTGACCATTTTTGATACCGGTGCAAAAGTTTCCTCGAAGTCAATGTGACTCGCTCCTACCGTCACTCTAGAAAATGGCCAAGTGTAACCACCTCCTAAAGCGTAGTATAGCGGGTTTGGGTTTTAATGTCAACCCGGGTCCTAAGTGTGATGACTACTCCATGAATTCTTATTATTTAGCAGTGAAAGTGTAGTGAAGGTTCAAACAAGCAAAGCAGTTAAAAGGTTGTTTTCAAGTCGAGAGAGGTCACCCGGATATGGTTTCCCCTAGACTGCAGTTAAGGCGGATTGTAATTTACCAAGTTCAAGTCTAATGATAGTTATACTGCGGGAGGTTCTTAAACAGTCTGCAGTCTCGACTAAAGGTCTCCAAATCCTCTCAATCTGAGTCCCCAGCGGGCGACTAACCTCCACCGGAGTAAACAGATTGAGGCCCTAACGAACCAAACCTCCACTACCGAAATAAATTCGGTATAGAATAGTGAATTGACTCCTCGGCTAAAGTCGTCAATTCATTACCTTCAATCAAGGGTGCTCAATCAACCTAGGCAGATATTCTCTTTCTAGGTTAAAGTAGAAACAACAGGAATTTGATCAGGATTCATGTCATTCAACAAATCAGACCTCAATTGAATATAATCATATCACTGAATTCGTACTTGGGTTCATACAATCATACCTAACATACAAATCTAGGGTTCTTCATACCCAGGTGAATGAGAAAGTTACTCCATAGAGAGAGATGGGAAATCTAGCTCAGATGCGGAAACCATACTGTGAAGGATGAGATTCTGCTTCTGACACTCAATCAGCTCTTCTCCAAGCTCAAGCCGGACTCCAATGGTGATGGAGATCGATCTAAGACACTTGCAGAATCAGGTTCGTCACTTTCTCTCTTTAGGTATACGCTTTGTCTCTCTAAAACTCGAAACCCTTCAATTTTGCCCTTCTTTTCCCTTAAGAAGTTGTCTGTCGTGATCCCCGGTCGGGTATTTTAGGCGGCGACCAGAGATTCTTAAAACTCACCGTCGAGGACAGGGGGTTAATCCCCGGCCTGGGTCAAGAATACCCGACCGGGGATTTGTGTTTAAAGCCCGAGCCCGCTTCTGCTTCTCAAACGCCCGAAAGCGGTTTTCCCTGGTCTGCTCCGAATAATACCCAGCCGGGTATTTTGCTCCTCCAGCACACTTCAACTCAAACGTGCTCATTTCGACCCGAAACTCGTTTCTTCGCCTCGATGCCAACGCCAAGCCCTGAAATAAGACATAAACACACAACCTAGCATGAAATCAGCTTAAAACACGAGAATCAACATCTCAAACGGCTCAAGAATAGGGGTAAAAACATGTGCAATCAATGGTCTATCAGATTCCCCCACACTTAACCGTTTGCTTGTCCCCAAGCAAACCTAACTCAAACCAATGCAACTCTCCAGACCTTTATAAAGCAGCTTACGAGGTCAACTTGTCTTCTAAGACATCCCTTATCTCTCTCAATGCGAGTACTAGACTCAAGCCAGGATCATGAGAAGAAGTAGAAGTAAGACAGTTAGTTCATGGATAAAGGGACTCACACCATTCAAAACCAATGACTCGTTGTACCGGGGTGCTCTTTCACTTCATTTCACCGTTGGAACCCCTTTTTTTGCACTTTCATTTACATTTCTCTTGTTTTTTTTTCATTCACTTAGCGGGGGGTTCCAAATGCAGTCTTTTGCACGACCGACCCTTAATAGTCGAGCAAGAGCAATTTCTGTACATCTGGCGCTCACCAGAGTACTTCTTTTAACTCCTTTTCCTCAACTCGTGTGGAGGGTCAATGAAATTAAGGGGGGTCGGAAGCTTTATCCGTGCCCTTAAAAACACATCCTCAAGTAGGCAAACCGTTCAACGAGTGAAAGTTTTACTTGTACTAGAGACAGCTTAGCTTCACCTTGTAGGAGTACCCCACTAAGGGTCACTAAAATCTCTTCCAAAACCCGATTTTGTGCAATGAACGGTGCCACACACGTTGGGCTTACCCCATGTTTAAGATTTCGATGATTTCGACATGGAGGACCAACTGCTTTTCATTTCCCACATGAGCACCCTGTTCGATACACGAGTCCATAACACAATCCAAACAGAGTCACCATTACCACATGAATTCAATGGTCTTAGCTCCACTAATTCAAAAATCAATTGGCACAACAGAGAGCTAGATAGGAAAAATCTTACACTTCAACATCCTCCATACTGCTAGACTACCTCCCTAGGTTGCACATTACTATAGAGACTGTCAATTCAAAGCATAATGAGCAGGCAATTTGCAAGGAGACATGTACTTGGAGCCCTCAAATCGAAATTTGGACAGTGGACTAGGCTCCAAGCACACAAACAGATCTAATGCAGTCAAAAGAGAAACAAACCCCCCCCCCCCCCCCACACACACACACTTAAGTTTGACATTTCCCTCAATGGAGAAGAGGGAAGGATAAGGGGAACGATGTTACCGGTGAGCACGGACTGCATGAGACTGGAAGGGGACCAGTCTGAGCGGAAGAGGTCTGGAGAGGGGACCAGTCAAGACAAGGCACAGCTAAAGGGAACAAAAGAACTCAAACACAATACGTTAGGTCCAATGGTCAGCCCAATAGTACATCATCCAAAAGAAAAATAAAGAAAATAAACCAACACACAAGACAGTTTGCACTCTGAAAGAAAACAACACAAGACGGGCCACTGGCATAGCCTCCTAGAGCCCGGTGAAGTCGATCTGATCCATGAGTTTGTCGTCCCCATCTGCCGGTGGGGGTGGGGGTGATGAGTGGTCCCACCGGGTGGTCCAGTGGTGCTCCTCTGGCGGGTGACAGGACTGGAGCAGGTGCTCCTGGTACTCCATCAACCGGCGGCCACGATCCCGCTCC